TATTTTTCAAAGGAACATGAAAACAAACAGACATAAGTTTATTTTAATATTAAGACTATTTTCAAAAATATTAAAAAAACATAATTTAAATGTTAGCAAAGCTATAAAAATCCAAGAAGAAAAGCTGAAGGAGAAAAAAAGATTTTGTTTAACTACTGAAATAAAAAAAAAAATCCACCAACAGCAGAATGCACAATTCACATGACTGAAGAATTTCAGTCACTGTGTGTTTTCATGGACCAATACATCCCCACAAGTGGCCTAGGCTTGCTGAAAGATAGATTTTATCAAGTCACCATATCTAGAATGGTTGCCAACCAAGGTTATAGAAACCAGTCTGCCCTGCCATTTAATGCATAAACCAGAGGAGAAAAAAAAAAAAAAAAAAAAAATTGAATTAATAACTTTCCCAAGGATATTTGTACATAAGTGTATCTCACGAACTCGGCTGTCCAATTTCTCATTCCGAGCCACTATGCATTGAACCACCCACAATTTCCGACTACTGAAATTGTTTTTTTCCAATCCGTTTGGTTTTTACCATTGGTTTGCTGCAAAGTCAAATATATTTCTTAATGTAAGAAGTTGTGTCCTCTATCATCAAATGGACCTTACCAATTAAAGTAAGCATTAGCTTTATAACAGTCCAATTATATATTTTAATTAAGGAAAATTTGATTTTTTTTTTAAAAAGAATGCTGGGCAAACAAACCAAACAAAAATAATCACCCACCCACACATATATATATATATATATATATATATATATATATATATATATATATATAAAAAATGTGTGGGTGTGAATTACAATTAATGATATCCAAACAATTTACCTCATACAAATGATCATTTCATCTATGGGGAAAGTAGTTTTCCCTGGACTTATCAATCCAAATACATTTACTAAAATCAATAAAATCCCACATTTCTTCACAAGAAATTTGAAAGGCAAAGGAAGTAAAGAAGGAAAAAAGAAAAAGGAAATAATAAAAGGAGAGAGAGTACAAACACACAAAAGTTTCAGGCCAACTACATAAAATGATTATTCACCTTTATTTAATACAGATTGTTTAGCAGTATACTTTTTTCAAATCAGTAGTATATGTTAACCTTAAGAATTGGAAAGTAAGTTGTTGCATTTTCATACATGCCATGTAACAGAAGACACACTGCTTGAAACTGAAAAAAAGTCAAGCAAAGCTATTTGGCTAATTAAACATCTGTGGTGATAAAATCATGATAATATGTAAATTTCTAAATAGGAATTATTCATCTAAACATGAATATAAGAAACCATGGCAAGTCATTGCAGCTGAATGTTAGCTTGCTTTCTAAACTAAATCTATGACCAAAAATGAAAGAACAGGTGTATAGCAAAAAAAAAAAAAAAAAAAAAAAAAAACATCAGAATAAAAGATTGGAGTGGTCAAAAGAACATCAAACATGAGATGCTGAAAATTGGCAAAAAGTAATCTTTTTAGTGATGAATTCAAAATAGAGTTACATCTTAATACAAGAGAATATATAAGAAAACCAGTAGGAGAAAGGAACAATACAAAATAAAACACAAAGGCAGTAAAATTTGGTAGTGGAAATGCAATGTTGTGAGGTTGCATCAAATGCAGTGATGGAAAAATTGGCAAAAGTTGATGAAAACCTAAACAATAAGAACTAGGTTAGTTTATTATGGAGAAATTTTTCAGCATAATGTGGCTCCTTTGCCACGCATCATGTGTGACACAAAGGCTCCTTGTGGATGAAGTTCTTTAGCTTTTGGAAGACAGGTCAGCACAAAGTCCTGATCTTAATGTAACAGAATCATTGTGGTTAGAACTGAAGAAACAAGTGGTCTGAAGAAAACTTATCTTCAAGAATTTTGGTTTTACTGCCAAGAAGAATGAGAAAAATTCCTAATAAGAAAATCTGAAACTTATTCCATTCAATGCCACATTGAATCAAGGCAATTATTCAAGCCAAAGGCAGCAACACTAAATACTAACTGTATACTTTGAAGTTTTGTTGTACTTTCTGTAATAATAAGATCGCTTTTTTGAAAAAAAATCCTGTTTAACTTAAGAGCTAAAGATAAAATGCTCTATCGCCCACCATTAATGAAAATGCAATAAATTGTTTTCTGGCCCTCAAAGATAATAAAATGTACTGAGAAAAACATACTGCTAATTCTAGATTTGGGGGTTAAAATTAACAAAAGTATTTAATTTACCAAGATGGCTCAAATGTTTTGTATACCAGTGCATATATCACACACACACACAGTCATTTTCAAGATATGAAAATAAATACAGGTATTTGGTTCATAGGACTGGACAGCCAGGCTATCCACACACACAAGACTTTTTTTTATAGTATTGAAGGCTTATGCAGAACCAATTACTTTTCAGAAGGACTGAATACAGAGAACTGGTGCACATAATATGCCACAAGATCCCCAAACAACTCTCCTCAGAGTTGTCCTTCTAGACTGATTGTTAACTAAGGCTATAGAGCCCAGATTACCCTGCTATTTACCCATAGATTTGAGAAGAGACCAATCCATACTTTTCTTGTGGATATTTGCATGTAAGTGAATGTTACAAACTAAACTGGAATTTGAACTTGGCTTTCCAATTTCACTACTACAGGTCCATACATGTCTTATTTTAATTATGCTATTATCCATGGATTTCACTACCCACAAGTGCTTTGGAATTTATCAACCACAAATGAGGTCAATTGTAATTTTTACATCTTGTTGCTTACTGCAGTAATTTACTTTAAAGGCTTTACATGACATTGAAATATTATGGAGTTAATAAATCAAAAAAGTTCTTTTAGTTTTTAGCCAATTTCAACTTATCTTACAAATTTTTACCCCCCCCCCCCAAAAAAAACAAAAAACTGAAAATAAATATATATTTTTCTTTTTTATTTCGCATTGATAACTTAAAATTCTATTTCTAATAATTTACAATAACTGAGCTCAAGGTACTGTTATGAAGAGTAAGACCCACTGACTTGTAAATCAAACAAGATTTTAGAGAATATCTTTTCCAAATTGCTTATATATCTGTGAGTGACCCTTACCTAACAATTCATTAAATTGGTTGCTCAACAAAATATTCATCATACTCAACTTAGATTTAAACTTTACTAAAACACACAACTCTACTTTTTCCCCCCACCAATAAAAACAACATTATTCTTTTGGTCCTCACAAAAATAAGCACACAATTTATCACCTTGCAAAAAAATAAAAAAAATTTAAATAAGTTTTGGTGTTACTGTTATTAAGAAGGAAATTTAGTTAATAAACTATTTCCTCACAGATGAAGAGGAAACTTCAGGCAACAAAGATGTGGCTCTACAAAAGAAATCTGAGATTATTATGGACGGAATATGTGGATACAAGGAAGTTTTAAGGAAAATGCAAACAAAGAGGACACTTAGAATAAAAAAACAGGCACAATCAGGAAAGAAGGTTTGGAAACATTTGACCCTCACAAAACATACTAAAATAAAAATGAAAAAAAAAAGACAAAAAGGCAACAAGTAACCTACCCAGCAAACTTGTGTAAAATAAATGGATAGCAGAACATGGACTGAGAGGTGGACATTGCTTAAGGATTGGAAGTTGTGGGGAGCTATGACTGCCCACGTCCTGGATGGACACGGCAAATAAAAGGAATCTTATATGCAAGTATTGATTAATAGATTTTTTTCAAAAAATTTGCAGCTTTTTCTTTGTGGGAACTCGAGAACTTGCAAAATGTTTAAAAAAAAAAAAAAATCATAAGTAAGTAGTTATTTTCTCTATAGAATTTTAAAAGTCCTATAGAAATGAAATCTCAACAAAGGCAAAGCTTTACAGATGAATTTGCTTTGCCTTTGAGTCTTAATTTTTTTCACTATTCATTTTTTTCTTAATTTTCTCCCTAAAACTGCTAAATTTTTATTTCACGTGGTAGAATGGTCCTAATTCCAATCTTATTCTTATTAAACACAACCCCACTCTGTAGAAATAAAAAAAAAAACAATGTGTACAGACAGACAGAATGAAATTTTTTGACAGTCATGTGTCACTAATCAAACTGATTTCGTATTATTGTTATCGAAATAGCAAAAATAAAATGGAACTATTGGGTACTATTCTATTCACAAATAGGAAATAATTTTTTTTATTTTCATAATTTTTTTCTCTGTTGATCAATGACAATACATAATTGTTAAATTAAATTTAAAAAACTATTTTCTTTATTACTTTTTTTTACAACAAAACAAACAAGATTTGATAAAAATATCTAACAATTTTTTAAAAATAATTGTAAAAAAAAAATTTTAAATAAAACAACGAAATTTAATATTGACATTATTTTGCATACATTGTCACATTTTATTTATTTTATTAATTTTAAAAAAAAAAAAAATCGATGTTGATTTAACAGAACTTTATCTTTAAACTAAAAGAAATACTTTTCTTTTTATTGCACTTCAAGCTTTTAAAATTTATTATTAAAAGAAAAAAGCCTGCTTAATATATATATATAAGATTTTTTTTTTTTTTTAGATAATAAATGTATCAAAGATTTTTTTGCGGTTGATGATGTGTTTGTTTCGGACAAAAATATTGACTACTACACGGCATCTTTGTTAAACGTTTTCGTCAAGTGCCCACCCAACCGGGGAAAAAAAAAAGCCGGTGGAAAAGTTCTATATTGCAATTTAGAAGAAAACAGGAAACGACTTTTCCAATCATAAAAAAAACAATCATTTATTTTTTATTAATAATGGTAACCCCAAAAATTTACTTAAAAAAAAAACTAAAGGTTTAAAAAAACATTTCATTTTTTTTAAAGAACCAGTAAAAATGTTTTAAGCACTTCTTTTTTTAGCAAGAAATCTAATGAAAAAACAAAAAGGTGGGAAAATATTTGAAATAGTTACCCTTATAAAATAAAAAAAATGAGGAATCAATTCTACAAGTAAAAAAATTAACTTACTTTAGTACCATGATAGTCGTCGACAACTGACCCATCTCTACGAGCTAGAGGATAAGTGAATTTCATGTCTGTTAGCTTTCGATTTGCAATTTGCGAGTGGCGAAAAGAAAGCAGTACAAGTAACGATGCCAGCAGTGCGCGCATGCTCATTAATGACATCCGGTAGTTGCGCATTGTGCGGTGATGGCCATGCTGTTTCCTGGCGTCTGCTAAAAAAATTTATTACATTTCTAGGGTAGAGCACAGATTTTACAAGCTCATTAATTTCAAATAATATTATTATTACGTTTCATCTAGAAGGAGAAAAATTGAATCTCACATAAAGGAAATTACCTAAGCAGAAAATCTACTAAAAATACTTAAATATTTACATTCAGTCAGTTATGTGACATGCGTGATACACGCTTAGGCGATCATGTATCTTTCGATACATGACTGACGAGGCAGATTTTTTTCTAACAGTAGGTTGTCATTTCTTTCTGAAGTAGACCAGTTGCCATCCAAGACTATAGAACCTAGTCTGTCCTTCTATTTACCCATAGATGGGGGGGGGAGAAGAAAAGGATTCATACCTTTCCCAAGGGTATTAGCACATAAGTGAAATTAAAGGGATTCAACTAGAATTCAAACTCTGCTCTCCAATTCCTCAATCCAAGCCACTATCCATTACTCCACCATCCCTCCCAATACATTACAATATTTTGTAAATTTCTTAAAATGTCAACTGAGAATTTATAGCGGCTTTGGTAATTAATCATATTCACAAACAAATTTACAATGATTGTAGTAAAACTTAAAATTACAATTTATTTACATTTTACAATAAACTTTTTGTCTACAAATGTGTGAGCAAGTTGTTTTTTTAGATATATCTTTTCATAAGTAAAGAGTTTTAATAGTTGAAATGTTTGTAGAAATGGACATGTACCTCATATACAGAATGTTCATACATTTTAGTAAAAGTTGTTACTCACAGTTTGTAATTAAAAAATATTTATCTGTTTTCAATGAATATAAACTCAGAAATTTCTTTTTTTAAATCTACATCCTGCCTCTTAGTGGCTTTACCTCCTTGCTTGGGGTGAAATGATTAAAAAAATGAAAGAAAAGTTGGATTTAACCTAAATATTTAAGTAATACTAACTTTGTCCTTCAGTAGTTACTATGGTATTACACAACTTATCTGCTAGGGAACTTTTCTTAATGCCCACGAGGTGGCATTGTATAAAGCAGTATAAATGGAAAAAACACAAACTCCCTCTTTCTCTCTCATTCTCCCCCTCCCCCTCTCCCCTCTCTCTCCCTTCAACTTCAAATTATGCATATAATATTAGTTAAGCATTTACAGAGTAAATGTTAGTATTATGGTGTCTGTAATATGATTGGAAAGTGTAAATATGAAGTTTTAGTGACAGGGAAAATATTTATGTGAATGGATCAGTGATTGTAGCAAGCTTGGTTAATGATAGGACAAGTGGAGACCAGCCATTTTCAACACCTTTTCAAGCATTGTGCCACATTTTTTTTACATATTACAAAAATGAATATAATATTTTCTCTCACTCTTCAAGTGCAGTATGTTTGGGGAAATGTTTCACTTGCAACACACTTCACTATCTTCTTTCTGAAAAAAGAATCTCATGTGCCTATAATAATATCACTAAAACAACTTACTGCGTAAACATATATCTACATTGAACCGAAAGAAAATGATACTGTTCAACAAACAAAACAACATTACAAAGTAAACTCCCATAACAAGATTGCAACTTAACATTTTTCCTATTGTCAGTCACTTTCTCACTCACAATAGAATTGAAGAATGAGTTTTTCTCACCTTTTCTTGGCTATGTTACACCTAGTTCTGTATATAAATATATAAAATTAATGCATTTGTTGTTCATTTTGAGAACCAATACTTATGAGGTTGTTAATATTTTCAAAGAAATGGCTTTACAGTAAGATTCAATTGATTTTTTAAATATTGTGTCTAAACAAATACTACAAGCACTGAGCATAAAAACAAACAACACAACACAACACAACACAAAAGTTTGTGTTGTTTTTTTGTGTATTTATGAAACATATTTTGTTGTTAACATGTTGTTATTTTGTTGATAACATTAATAAAATGTTATCAAATTTAGGAAAAACATACAAAATATTTTTCATAAAAAAAAACAACACAAACTGTTGTGTGAAGATGTGATACTTTAAAAATAACTGACATAACATGATATTTGAAAACAAATGAAACTGACAGCACAGAAAAAAATAATTGATAATCAATTATAAAAGCTGAAAATATAAGACACTGGACAATTTATATTTAAATATGGAAAGCAGAAAAATGGCCCAAAATACAGAAATAATAAATTACAAAATCATTAACAAAGAACTTTCAATGGTTTTTACCTAACTTTTATAAATTAAAAATTGCTGCCCAAATACACTGGATAGATAGATAGATAGATAGATAGATAGATAGATAGATAGATATGAATAGAATGGGATAGTTAGACAGGCAGACAAATAACTTCATAAATGGCCAAGAAACTATTAACTTTAATTAAGGCATATCTAAAATTTGATTCATTTTTTATTTGGTCAAGCTATCTCAGACATTCATGAGTCTATCATGTCAGCCATCATGGTCCTGCATCAAGATCAGAAGGTCGTTAGGGTGGCATTCTGTGTTATAACACAGCTGATCAATGTAGATAGTAGCTGGGCAACCAGCCTATCTTGATCCATGGTTAGGTATCAGAGCAATAGATTACTCACAAGTTCTTCTTTTGTATGCCAGCAGTGTCCCGCAAAGTGTATTCTGTATTTACATAAGATTTTTTTTTTTTTAAGCATTTCACCTCAAGCAAGGCGGAAAGCCACTAGGACGCAAGGGGTTACAGAAAATTTAGAGCAAGATCAGATAGGAGTGACAGATCAAGGCAACTGGAGATGTCGATTGACATTACACTTGAATAGCTGGAGATTATAGCTCACAGGGAGAAATATCAGAGATGGGTCAGCAGAGACGTGATTTAGTTATATGTTATCCCCAAGAGATGTTAAGTATAGCTCTTAGAATCCAAGTGTGGGTTCCATCAAGCTTAGATTCTAGAGTTTTAGCTAACATTCAAGCAGTGGCACCACACATTAACACTGCCTCTACAGGAGCTTCAAAGAATCCGCTTGAGGTTGTCTGGTAGATCAGATTTACCAGAGTACTTCCATTTCGTCCATGCAAATTTTCTAATGCTTTTCAGTAGAATTTATCTTGCTTCCTAGAGATGTAAAAAATTCAACAGAATTGATTGATTTTCCTGAGCTCAGGTGAATCAATAAAATCTTTTACATACCTAGGAAGTGAAAATTTGATTTTATCCAATTTTATAATGTTGCTAGAATGCTATGTCTTGTAAAAAAATAAAATTTATAAATAGAATACATTTTAAAAAATGTGGGATTACACCAGCTTGTCTGCTAGAAAATGTCTCCCAATGGCCAATAGGTGGCGTTGTATAAAGTGATATAAAAGGAAAAAGCACAAGCCTCTCTCTCTCTCTCTCTTCTTTTTCTCTTTATCCACAGGACATTGTAGTGAAAAAAATGTCTCTTTTCCCCTCCATGGAAACTTTCAGTTCCTGGGTAAACTATGTTTAGCATACACTACACTAAACTACCTACTGTTAAATAAGATAATTTAATCTGTAATAGCAACCTTACCATTAACAAAAATAGTGAAAGTGATAAACAACAAATGGAAATAATACATGGTGAGATAAGTGAAAGAGTTTTATTTTCTATGATTTACACAGTTCAATCATTTGCTTGTTCTGGGGTATTGTATATCAGTCATAGGAGACTGAGAGTCCATTTGAATTATAACACACAGTATTAGTCAAGATAGACATGTAGAGAAAACCAACATATATGTGTAGTCAAGAGTTAGTCACTGCTGCTGCTGCTGGCTTTGTTTCTGGCCAAAGCCATAACTGTTGATGGAAACATTTTGATGTTGCTGCTGATGGCATGGTTAAGCTAACCTACTGTGGGAGTCAATCATTAATGCCAGGTGAGTTTGGATCTACCTGTGTGCGTGAAATCAGAATTGGCTTTGTGAGTTAGTAGCTCAGAAATGGCTGTTGTGAAAACCACACGTTTTTTTTTTCTGATATTTTATAAGCCTGGTATTTTGGGGCAGATACCAGAAGTGGGTAAATGGAAATTAACAAAATTAAGGTTTTTGTTTTTGTTTTGTTTTAGCTGTGGATGTCAAAGTGGGCACTCCCATGTGGGCTAGAGAATTGCAGTTCCAACAGTGTATGGTAAATAAAAATATGCTTTAGTTCAAAATTTTTAAATAAATAACTCAGGTGCTAAATCAAATATTTACAGTAAATATATGTAAAATGCACGTTGAATTTATTTATTTTGGGATTGTTAAAATTTTAAAACGAATGTCATTACAATAGGAAATAGAACTCTTTCACTTATCTCAACCATATTCAAACAAGAATATGTTGATGTCATCAAGGAACGTCATGGTTAAAAATGCCTTTCTCACATAGAAAGTCTTTCACAATGATTCATATTGTTCACAATGCTGAGTCACTTCAGTGATTTTCAAGATTGTTCTCTTATCTGATAACAAATTTATACAATCATGAATGATTGTAGTGTCATAGCATGGCTGATAATGAGATTTATAAAAATTTCACTCAGAAGTTTTAAATTATTTTATAGCTCATCCGGTTCACACTCCTCCCTGATTTTTTTAACATGAGTAGAGGTTTATCCCTTGTTTTCTGTTTAGGATTGGGTTTCGAGTTTCTTCTAAAGTTTACTTCAACTTTGTACTTCTAATATCTCTACCTAAAACTCTGAACTTTTATTTACATTTGCTTTTCCTCAATAGGCATAGATAGGTTTGCCTATCATCCAGTTCACACTCCTCACCACTCTTTTAAACAAGAGTAAAGGCTTATCTCTTGTTTTTTGTTTAGGATTGGGTTTCCAGTTCTCTCTAAAGTCTTTTCCTTCTTTTTCTCTTCCATGCCCCGTTGCATCTTGGTGGTATTGGAGTGGTACCTCTTACTCTGTAATCCTCTGCCTGAAGTGGCTCTTGCGCCTTGTACAAAGTGAACATCAGTGTAAAAATACACAACTTACTTTTCTTCTTTTTTTTTATTAAACTAGCTTTAGGGTAATGTAAAACTGCTAGGTTATTGTCTGATATAAGCACATACGTCATAACATTTCTTTTGTGACTGGAACTTTTTAAATGTACATAAAACATGTGCTTGTAAACATGTCTTATTAAAAAGCATAGACATTTTATGTCTATTAGATTGATTGATCATTTTTTCTAGTATGCACATATCAAGAAAACTGTTTGAAAATAATTGTTCGAAAACAATTATTCAGAAAAAATTATTCTAAAGACATTTATTCAAATTGTAAATTGTTTGAATGAAAATTAATCAAAAGGATAATTATATTAAATGATAATTATTTGAATACCTATGTTTAAAATATGTTTGAGAGAGTCAATGCTGATTTACCTAGAACTAGTAATGCCTTTGAAGGATGGTATAGGGCCTTTTCGTAGCAAGTGTCATCCCATCATCCCACAATATGGAAATTCTTAGACATTCTTAAAAGAGAACAGGACTTGCAAGAAATTCATATTGCAGGTTGCCAAAATATCAAGAGTGCCAAGAAATACTGCGACATAAATGGAAAACTTGAAAAATTACTGGCATCCTTTAATTACTCTTCAGTAGTTGACTATTTGTGTGCAGTATCATATAACTTAAGGTTATAAGGATTTTTTTTACTATATTGTTTTATTAATGATATTTATATTTCGAATAATTATCATTTGTGCATTTCAGATTTTAATTTTTACATTTTTATTGCAATAAAGAATTTTGAATTTCAAATTATTATCATTTAGTATAATTGTCCTTTTGATTAATTTTCATTCAAGTAATTTACAATTTGTATAAATGCTTTTCAAATAAATGTTTTCGAATAATTGTTTTTAAAAAATTTTTCAAACAATGTTCATATAATCAGTATGTGAATAATATTTTGCAGATGTAGCTGTTGTTCATGCATGAAATACTAGAAAAAATGATCAATAAATTCAATAGACATAAAATGTCTATTCTTTTTAATAAGACATGTTTACAAGAACAATCATTGTCAAAATATACTGAAATAAAAAAAAAATTACTTGGCATATTCAAAATTAATTTAATTCATACAGTATTTTTCAAGGCTTAATTATTATTTATTAAGGCTATACTGTGTAAGACAGTTTAAAACTGCCAAATCCCTTCAGGACATAGGTGATCATGGCTCTCTACAGCTTCCTTTTTCTTTAATATCTAAATGTGCACTGTTATGATTATTCTTTGTGGAATGGTTTTTAACTGCTTTCTCCATAGTTTTGAATTGTCCATCTAGACTGGTTACCAACCAAGGTTAGAGGGGAAGAGGGGGCACCATGCCTCTCCTAATGAAATTAAAATGGAGTGAACTTAAACTGTCTCTGCCAAATTTTGACCTCAGATATCCAATTCCATTTAATACACTGTTGGCTCAACCAGAAGTTTCCATCTCAAGAGTCAAATGACCAAAATCACTTATTTACTTATAAGTTCCGAGTGGCACTTCCAGTAGCATTGAAAACATTAAAAATTATTAATTGACTACTGACAGCATTTCCCTCACATTTTTGTGTGACTGCTTAAAGGGAAACTATAAATACAGACCATAAAGCAAAAAAGTAGTTGGGGAGTGGATTATATGTAGTCAACTCAACCAATTTACTGATCCACTGAAACATTTCACATTTCTCTGATGTAGATTCAACAATGAATCCAAGGTATGAAATTTTCCCCTTTCAAGGGATTTTATTAAACATACCTCAATGTGTGTTTTAACTTGGAACTTTTCCATTTTCATGGATTTAATTAACACACCTCAACATGTGTCTTTGTACCTTTCCATTTTCAGGAGTTTATTTAAACACACCTAAATGTGTGTACATAAATTTCCCCTTTCAAAGGGTTTTTATTAAACACACCTAAATGTGTGTATGTTATCTTTTCCCTTTTTAAATGTGTATATGTGAACTTACCCTTCTTTTCAAGGTTTTTATTATATTCACCACATGATGTATAAAATATCCAAATAAATTATTATTTGTTGATGAACGAATCTTTATCTTATTGTTCATTTTAAATTCACTTGTTTAAATGCCTTGCTTAATCATTGTGTTATGGTGTTGGTTAAGATTGCTTTATTTCGTACATCACCCGGAATAATTAGTAATCACTGCCACTGTGTTATATGAGTTAGCAACAAGAACCAAACACTTTCTGCACCCCATAAATCAACTAGTCCCATAAACTGCTCATGAGAAAGTTTGCACCCTCAACATGTTAACTGTTATTCTACTATACCTTATAAGATATTCACATTATTAAATTAGGAATGATATGAGGAAAGACATTTGGGGCTCTGCAAAAA